TAACAGAAGCTCACCTCGTCCATCTTCACTTGACGTTTGGACTTTATACTGTGAGGTGAATTCTGAATGCGATCACTCCCCTCATTTACATACTTATTTGCTAACAATAAACTTTTTCTATTTGTCTGGCAGCCTATTTTCTGACAATACTCGCTAACCTTTTACATTATTCTTTTTTACAATTTTCGGGATGTTTTATTCTTTTAAGGTTTAGCGAGTTGCTAACTTGTGCTTGTGGGGATCTCCCCCCTTTTCTTGGTGAGGACTTACTTTTTCCGCTCGGGAGCGCAAATGTGCGCGAGTTTTTTTTTCTACGACACTTTTCCCTTGTTGGTGAGTTGGTTTTTCTTCTATTTTTAAGTTTCTAAGGTGAATGGTGAGGAAACCTTTGTCCTAACACAACATAAGCCCCAAACAAAAATATAATAAAAAGCAAAATAAAAGTAAATAAAAATAATGCTCGGACTTGGTTCCTTACAAAACATTCCACATAATTTCCTTCTCAATTCAGGCAGATATTATACCATGACACCAGCTTTTGTATACCCATGTCGAAGAACATTGTTGCTAGGCCATTCAGCCAACTTTTAACACTGTCAGTCTGCAGTATACAGTGTGGACTTTGAAATTTGAAGAAACTCCTCACTGAGCTCAGAAATCATGAACTGACACCTTTCTCACACCAATTGATCCACTTTGTCCACCAAATCGTCAGTCATCACACACTTCCTCCCTTGACTGTCCTCATCACGAACGTTGTCACATCCTTGTTTGAATTTCCTGCACCATTCACGCATGCATCCGTAGTTCATGAGGTTCTCACCATACACATTACACATCCTTTGATGAATTTCATCTCCATTCAGCTCTTCGGCCTGTAGAAATAAAATTACTGCTCATACTTCACAGTTGGCAAGAGACTGGATTGGCGGCATCATGTTTATGTGTTTACTGCAGAGTAGCAAATGTCTAAAATAGCTTGGCACAACGCTAAGTAGTGAGGGAATATACTACTCACTAGATGTGCACCCTGTCCCTGTCTCACATGCTTCCAATTTTTTTTCATACGTTAGTGGAGGTTGAAAAAATAACCTTCCTAGATCAGTGTTGTGTAAGTTTAATGATGTACTATTTTTGTCTGCAAGAGTCATAGCTTTGTGTAATTGAGATGTTTCTTATTTTCTAAAGTAAAACTCTCGCAGTGTCATTATTTCTTTGCAGTGAAGATTTACTATATCTGTGAGACTTTGCCCTCTCTCTTTATAAGGAAAATTCAGCCTTTCTATGAATGACTTAGGATGGTGTTGATTGTATTTTGTTAGTATTGTTTGTATTTTCCTTTGGAGTTGTTTTAGTTCTGTATTTGCCCAATTTATAATGTCAATAATCCAAATAAATATGTCAATACTGGGACAACATACATATTGATTGCTTGAAAATGTGTTTGCATTCAGTTCTGTTGTTAGTATCAAGTTTAATCTGCTGTTTTATTCTTTTGTTATTCTTTGCTTTATTTGTGCATATTTTGTTGGAATCCTAACTATTTTTATACTTCACCCTCATCCAATGATTCAATTATATCTCTATTTCTACATAAAAAATAATCTTTCTTCAGGTTCCTTTTTCTATGTTCTGCATTTATCTAGGCCAAACTCTATCTGAATGTAAATGGAGTAAGTGTGTATAACTTCTAATTTAGCTGTGTGTCAATTCTCTTCATCCATTCTTTCTTGCCAAATGTTGTGGCCTAGTTAGCAGGAAGGATGAGATAGTTCTCCACTATTCTTGAATTTGTGCTGTTCAAAATGCAGCCATCAATGTCATATTTTTCAATAGATTAAAGTTTATTTTCATAATTATTAAGATCATTCAACTACACATCATGAAATTTCTTAGGATTATTCCATTTAATCACAAGACTATAATATTAAGGTCAACAACGTTTGTTATTTCAATTAAATAATTTTACTGGATATTCAAAGGTTTTGTGAGTCATTGATACAGGACTATAAATCTATCACTGTCAAATTCTATTCTGGTTAGTCATTTTTAAGTTGAATGGCAAAATGTAGTCTGAAACCTGAGTCTACAAATTACGGTACTTAATATCTAAAATGGAGATTTCATTGGACAATCTTTTGGTTGAACATTAATGTAAAAGTAATTAATTTGGAATAAAAATAGGCTGTTAATTTGCCATCTTATGCTAATATGAATCATTACATAAATAAATTTACTAATTTAGAGTATTTTGGAAGAGAAGGTTGATCCAGAATGGAGCCTTGAACCTACATTGTAGCTGTCTGCCATGTTTGTTTTGTATAATTGTATATAGAATAGGCACTCCTTTCTTCTTTCCTGTCATTCTTCTTCCTTCTATCTTTAACCCTTTCCTGTCACATGACAGGAGCTTTACTGTTCATGGGTCCTGATTGGGCCAGTGTACAAAGGAAAAGGTCCTGCCTGAAAGGGATCTGGGGAAACCAGGAGTGGACGAGAGTCACTTTTGGATTTGCCACCGAGATAGCAGGTCAGGTGAGGGAAACCAAGTTACAAGCTACAAGGAGTCAGGCTTAGGAAGATAGAAGGAGAGGGTCAGTATAGACCACGTGTGGATGTTGACTTGGAACTAAGTTAGTGAGTCATTCCATACAAGCTCAAGGACCTGCCTCGGCACATATTTAATGGTAACTGGTTGTTAATACCCTGGATGTGATTAGTCCATAGTTGACATTACCCAGTATCAGGACCCCCCCGATCTAAGCTACTGGTAGACTATCCAATTATCCTTCATCCTTTCTTTTCTCTTTCTAGTTGTAAGTAGTAATAGTATTTGAATAGTAAGTTGAATTATAATTGTCTTAGTTTTAAGCAGAATTGTACTTAAATTAATTGTTGCGGGAAGTTTGATCAAGAGCAGGGACCTAGTACATATATATACTTTTGTTCTCTGTAATGGGCAGTCCAACCTCTGTTCCATCAATTCGATCGATAAAACGTGACTGACTGTTATTTGCATTGTCTTATTTTCATGTGTTTCCTATCCTTTCACAACATATTCTGCTTACTGTGCAGGTGCATTTACAGTTAGTAAAGATCAGAATGCAATTTAGGTATCACAATGTGGCTGTATGCCATATTTACTGTAAATAATAATTTAAGTTTAGTTTAATTTTTCCTTTCTACCCTTTGTTCTATTGTTCTATTTCCTTCTAGAATTTTCTTATCTAATCTTTTTCCCTTGGGTGGGATGACCAATTCCAAGAAATGAGGGGAACAAAGGAGAGAACAGGATCCTGAGGACAAAAAGATAACAGGCAAAACATTCTTTGCCAGGACTGGAATGCATACAGACATGATGTAGAACACTCCGAGTCACGTTAGCAATGACCAGAGATATCGAAAAGAAGTATAGAGAGAGGATTCTGTCTTAAGATAGTATCGATGAGGCAGTGAAAAAGAAAATACTAAGCAAAAAAAAAGAAGACATGGACAAGATTTTATTGAAGAATAAGACAACGAATCATTTATATAGGAATAATGTGTGGCATCCCACCCAACAAATAGGCAGAGAGTAATATACCAAAAAATCCTGGGTATCCCTTCTTATACTATATATTCTTTCTTATATCCTCTTACATCTATCCTTTTCTGTTATTAGTAATAAGTTAGTATTACTTTTAAGGTTTGGGATTGATAATATTGTCGCGATCGGGACCCTTCTATGTGTAGTGGATATATCAAACTATTGTTCGTGCCGTAAATTTGTACACCATTGTGTTGTACCGTGACATTGGAATCCCTAATAGGAATCTATATCAAAACGCAAAATAGGAAATATATCATCTCATTGTTTTCATATCTTGTCCACCTTTGTGGTTAACTCTAATTTTGTGTGAACATCACAGTAATCAATAATGGACAGTACGTGAAAGATGCAAGTTTGAACTCTTTTCTAGATCAACCTTTCCTTCCAAATTTCTAAATTATTAAATTTATTTCTAAATTTAATTATTAATTTAATTAATTAAAAGCCCTTATCCCGAGTTAACTGCCTACTTTTTAGTCCAATTAATTTGCTTAAATATTAATTTCTAACCAAAAGTACAGTAAACCAGAATTGTATTGAGCTATCTGTTATAACCAAATACAATTCAGATTTAGATATTTGATAATCATTATAGCTATTTACTAGTCAAAAATTAATGTGTCTAAAAAAATTATTGAAGTGTTTGGATAATATGATGAATAAACATATCCACATTAATCAAGAATTGCAAATTTGAATCTCACTTGATTAAATTTTTTACAATTCTTAATAATAGGGTAGATTGTCAACTCACCTATATTTGCCATAAGCCTTCCAAGATTTGGCAAAAATTTTAAAGCTCTTAGACTCTTAAACAGAGATTTATTATTGTCATATTAACAATGATCAACTTTTGGGTTATATATTAGAACAGAATAAACATTAGACAACTTCATTTTGATATTACTGAAAATAAAAAATATCAATTCTCTTGAAATTTTTTATTCCTGGAATCAACTCTTCAGGAGTTGGTAAGCTTAGTGATGGGAAGCTTAGTGATGGGATTCTGAATGGCATGTAACTTTCTTAATCAATAAAAATCCTAATATATAAAACGTGGCTCCTTGAAATAAGTTTAGCCAAGAAAACAATTTATCTATTGGTCAAATTGAGTGTATGGAATCAAAATTTTCATAAAAAAAACTAAAACAAACTATTCACAAGATTTATTAATAATAGTTCAGATGAAAGAATGTTGAAAGTATTTAAAATTAACATTATCTATCTTCTTAAAATATGGAAAATTGGTAATTTGTTTATTTAGTTTAACAAAAATGTCAAATTTTATGGCATTTCTATTTAATAAATTTTATTAAAATTTACGTTTTTAAAATAATTAATGTATTACTTTCCCCAAAATTAACTTTATGATTTACATTATATTATTTACTAGAATCTTAATATAACTTACCACTTTTAGCTGTCGTATGATTGTAAGCTGTCACATGAACAACTTTAATAGTATGTGAACTTGATTTGTTATCTAAAATTGCAGAAAGTATGATGATGACTAAGATTAGCATTAAAACTAATATCATTAATAGCCTTTCAAGTACTGTTGCTCGCTGCCAAAGATTACGTGGATGGTGCTGATAATTAACTTTAGGCATTCCACCACTAGGACTTTTTGTGTTTCTTGATCCAACCATCAACGCATCTGCCTGCATGCTAGTAGTGCTGCTGGTCTCCTCATCCTCAAAATCTGTGCGTTTATACTGAGACATCTGAAATAATAATAAAAATTTCAAATAATTTTTTAATCAAAAAGAAATATAGTAGGATATGCTTATTGAAATAACTTTAACTTTAGGACTTTCCTGTACTGATAATATTAAACAGTGTATGTATATAAGATAAACATTGCAAATATAACCAATATTCATCCAGAAGAAATTACAAGAAAGCAAACATTTTTATCTGTGTTTAACAGGCATTATCAAGCTACCTGATTTTTTCTTGTGGCTTTGTAAATTTCTAATTGTTCTAAATATCTAAGTCGTTTTTTGTGGAAAGTGCTATGTAGGAAGCAAACTCAGTCGAAATGTAAATCCTATGTGGGGTTGGAGACAAAGGTTGCTAATGCAGTATTAACCAGATCTATTTATTACTTATGCATTTGCAGTCAGTTTTATCAAAGCAAAACAAACACCAACCAATGGCAAAAAATTCACTTTAGCTTTTGTTCTTTTCAGATTTACAATATAAAAACACATATACACTCAGCTGTTTCAGAGCTTCAGTTGAACATGTTCCATCCCTTTATCATTTTAAGAAAAAGCAAGTTCGTTAAATTTGTCAATAAAAATCCAATAACAGAAAGTTGCTAACTGACTGCATGAGTGTGTGTATAAGATGCATTCATAATATTTTGAAAAAATATTTTGTTAAACAATAGTAATTTCAATAATTTCAAAATTTTTAAAAAAGACTAGGTAAAATAAATTAAAATCTTAAAACCTAATATTTATTTTCTATTTTATTTTTTATTGCATATAAAAAAAATTATGAACATATTAAAATGAAAAGATAATTTGAGTTAGGAACAAAAAAAAGAAAATAAACAAGAGAAAAAGAAAAAGATGCTCAAAAGCAAAAGAACTCCCTATATGCTTTTCTTATACAGTGGTACCTCGTGCTTTGAATGAATCTAACTTCAAAAAAAAACTTAACAATTGACTCCCCAGACGTCCCTAAATTGTTTGCTTTTACAAAAACACATAAACCAGGCCAACAACTCCGCCCAGTCGTGGACAAAGCAAGAGCGCCTACACAGAAGTTGGAGAAGGCTGTACATACCCTTCTCGCTCCACAATTGGAGGGCTACCCGTACACCATCGCTAGCCTGGTGGAGCTCCTAACACAATTGAAAGAGGTCACATCATACCAGTACATAACAGTGTTGGACTTTAAGTCCCTATACCCATCCATTGAGCTCCCTCCAGCTTTCTGTGCGCTTAGGGACATTTTGTTTAGTATTGTCAGGGATAACACTTTACACAACCAGGTTCTTGAGATGGCACATTTGATATGCTATAATTCGGTGTTCCAGTTCAATGGCAAGGTCTACACACAAGGTAGAGGGGCCCCCCATGGGCAGCCCAGTTTCAGGGGACCTTTGTGAGATGGTAGTCCAGCAGTTGGAGAACAAAGTCCTCCCACGATTCCTCCCTAACATCAGACTATATAGGAGATATATTGATGACATTATTATTTTTTGGAAAAATGTGCCTGATATAATAGCCTTAGTAGATTCTTTTAATAATAACCCATACGGGTTGATACTAGAATTAGAACAATCTGACCCCACCGAGGTCCATTTCCTAGATATAAATATTAGGTTAGAAAACGATGGCATCAGCACTGTGGTGTATCATAAACCAGGATCTATGTCATCATACATTCTGGTGGGATCATGTGACCCGGTTCTGTACAAGACTGCGGCATTTAAAGCCTTAATCAGAAGAGCCTTCACACATTCTTCTAACATCCAGGTTCATGATAGAGAGCTAGCATTTATACAGCAAGTAGCCGCAGAACATGGGTATTGCAAAGTTATACGTAAGATGATACAGCAGTATAGCCTGATATATGCAGATAGCACACGGCTGCTGGACCAACACAATGATAACCAGCAGGAAGACAGAACAAATCTCCATCACCTATAACCCATACGTAAGATCTATATACTCCAAGATCGCCAGGAAGTGCCAAATACGTATTGCTTATAGAAGGTGTCCCACTATTTTTAACATCTTAAATAATAGGAAGGACCCTCCTAACCCCAGCAGAAGACCCGGAGTCTATAGTGTCCCTTTGAGAGATATTAGATTCAATAGGGATTTAGTATATATAGGCTCTACTAAAAGATCCATAGGCATCAGAATGCAGGAACATCAGGTGGATATTTGTCATGCGAGAAACAACATGGCTCTCGCAACATACGTAACAGATCCGGATATAGTTGCCGACTTTACTCAGGCCAATCTCCTTCTCAGTGTGCCTCCAAATGATCATCTCAAATGGTTAGAGGCGATGCACATCTTTAAAGCCTCTATCAAAACTACGTGCATAAATTTTAGAGGAGATGCTTTTGTCGATGGCCTGGCAAGAGTTGATTCACAACACACTTTAGCTGTCCGTTATATCCAAGTAGGCGGACTCATCGTGCATGTGCGATGTATAATTTTAAAAGAACGATTCAAACTCAAGAATGAAGTTATTTGAATGGCATTCGTTAATTGAAGTTACGAGCTAAAACTATAGGAACCTGATGAAGAGCCCAGAAGGGGTTCGAAAATGTTTGTTTTTTCGTTGTTGATCGTACCACACCATAAATTGGTTCAGTGTATGTGATTAAATCTAACTTCAAACATGTCAGAGTTTGAATGCTAAATTCAACAAAAATTCACTTCAAAGTTTGAACTGCACATGCACTTGAAGTGTGAAATAAGATTCTGAACAAAGAATACAATTTCAAATTAGCAATAATATTAAATTTCACAACCATTATAATTAAATCATACATCTAAGTAACGACAACTGCTAAAAGTATGCAAAAATTTTATGTTCAACCCAATATAATCTTCACTTATTAACCATGACATCTGAGAAGTGTGTGGAAACAATGAAGTCTAAGTGGAAGGTTGGAATATTGACGATTGAGATGAAAAAAAGAACTTATTGTTAAGCATGAAAGCAGTATATGTGTGACAGATCTGGCAGCTGTGTTTAAGATGCCAAAATCAATGGTGTGCAACCAGTAAATGCAATTTTCATTTTATTATACAGTATTTACATATTTTTTTTTGTTGTTTCATGTTTTAATTTATTATTAGGGCATTTAATTGTGTTATTTTTACCTTAAATTATGTATATTTGCTGTTTTAAGTTTATCAAAATGAGTATTATTTAGGGTCTGGAAATAGATTGATTAACATTCCATTATTTCTAATGGGAAAAATTGATTCAGAGTTTGAATGGTCTTCTGAAATGAATTATATTTGAAAATAAAATACTATTAGCCAACAAGGACAAATACAGCAAACAAGGAACCACACACAGCAGATGGTGGAAAAAAGTATTTATTTATGCGTAAGAGATACAGATTCTAATGGATTCCACAACTCTAAAGCAGTATAACAAGCAGTCACTCAAAAACCTAACTGTCGGCTGGACAATTACACAATATCACAACACATACAAAGGAGCCGAGCTCAGGTAATACAAGAGTTTCCTTATAACTAATCCTTAAAAACTAACTTGTGCTAAGGGGAAAAAGAGATCAGAAGATATAGGCAAGATATAGCAAGATGACTGATAGAAAAGAATAGAATATCCAGGATGTATGAACATTATTTAGCATTCATGAGGAGCCACGTGGAACTTCCTTAGACTCACTTCATGCTTCCGTTTTCCTTTTTTTCTATATCCAAGATTCACTATGCAGTTACTCCAATAAGTTCATAAACTTTTACTCCAGTTTAGTTTCACTTGTCTCAAATACTTGACAACACTAAGTACTTTCTTCTTTGTCCTCATTCCACAAAGACCAGCCAAAAAGTGTCCTACACTCCCAACATGTGCCCTCAGGTAACATCATCTTCATTGTTCTTGCAATTCCACAAAGTGGCCCTCATCACCCAAGAGAATAGATTAAGAATAGAAGGTTCTAGAGGTAAGAAAGAACAAAGAACAAAAGAGAAATGCTAAAAACTACGAACTAAACTGAAATTATACAATGGTATACAGCCACAATTCTTCTCAAGAGAGACCATAACTTGGACCTTACCCTAAGCCTAAGTTTAAAAAAGATTTGAAGATTTTCTTGAGAAAATACAAACAGAAGTTTTAGATAAAGGATGTAGGCCCTATAGAAGAAAATGACAGTATCAAAATGGTAACTGATAATAAGGATGCAAATGAAGCATATGAAGATTCCAATCAAATTTGTGAAATATAAAATTTTACTGACAATAAAGCATTATGGCCCAATCTAATATTTCAAAAGTATTGACATTGTCCAAGAAGACACAAGAACTTGCATTAAGACATTATCAAATAGTTACAAAGACAAAATTAAAGTTTATCATTTTATAAAATGTATCAAAGAAGACGGTATAGATGTCCTCTTCAAATACATAAAACAATATAGATAGTTTGCAAAGTAAATTTCCTAACTTAGAAACAATCTTAATTTTTTTTTTGACTTTACGAATAAGCAATGCTAGTGACAATCATTCTTTTTTGGTCTTAAGAGGAATAAAAAAATTACTTAAGAAATAGTTTAGAGCAGACTCATTTAAATGATTTATCTATAATGTTTATAGAAAATGATATACTTAATATATTAAACTATGATAACAGTATCAATCAATTTGCAGATTTAAAAGCATGAAGGGTAGTAAGTTGTTATACTAACCAGACAAATAAATAATTACAAATAAAGAAAAAACTTATTATTATTATTTAAAGATTTTATTGTCTTTTTAATATAAAAAAACCCACATTTACATAAAAAGCTTTATGAAAAAATTGCACCTAGGGCCTCAAAGGAACATAATCCATTACTGAGCAACTTATTTACTGACAACCAAATTACTGATATGCTTATTACTTATTAGATTGGACTGCACTACTACTTGGCTCTTTCTGTTGTATGATCATGTTATTTGAGTAGTTCAATCTAATCATTATTATTTCATAGATCATTGTACACTTGGTCAAT